GTCTCTCTGAATGGCAGCATAGCCTTCAATAGTTTCTATTACCTATGTTACTTTTCATTAGACAGTATTACTCTGCCACACGTTGTCTTCAGATCTCCTAAGCAGAAGAGTAGAGAAACACTTCCAAGTCCTTCAAATGCTTCTATTCTGCTTAACTCCCATGTCCTGCAGAGCCACCTGGTTAACAAGGTGTCAGGACTCTAGAAAGTGGCTTCTCCTACCAGAGCTCTGTCCTGTATGTAAGTGTGCACGTTTTTGTGCCTCTGAAACTGCACTAATAACAAAAAGAAGAAATTATTAAAAAATCAAACTGAACATTAGTTTTGCTTCAAGACACAAAGTAGCATTCTCATTTTACCTTTTATTCTAGCTCTTCTGAGAAAACCATTATACAGAGTTGCACATTTGTGTTTGAATCTTTTTGTTTTCTGAGTGGTGAGGTACTTGGACTTTGGTAAAACAATGCTTTTGAGGTTGTTTACATTTTTTAAAATTTCACATGGAGACTGTATTTCTGCTTAGATTCAGCTATATAAAATACATTTTACAAAGTCTAAACTATAGTCTCCATATAACCTTTAAAATATTTCCTTTCAAATATTTTAAATCTTTTAAAATATTTCTGTGATGTTTTTAAAATCCCATAAATTTCAGTGGAATTTTATGTTACTCACTGTTTCAAAGAAAACACATCTTCAAAGACTCAGGAAAGTTGTAGGCCCATATTGCTATGTGTTCAGGTACTTTTTGAAGAGCTGTGTGGACCAGAGCTGAGGGGATTTTTCAAGAGCTGTCTTGCTAACTTCTCATGGATGTGATTAGCTCAGTATTCCTATTTCTTGTGATTAGTATCTGAAGAGTTATTATTCAGTTATTTCTAGAGAGGATCACATGTTGAAGGTATTTTATCAATGCCAGCAGATTTTTTTTCTCCTTTTTTCCTATTCACACAGGTCTGGGAGGAGCCCTGGGCTACCTGACAGGTGCTATGGATTGGGATCAGACTGTACTAGGATTTTCTTTGGCGTCGGAATTCCAGGTGATTTTCTTCTTCGCAGCCTTCGTTTTCCTGGTCTGCCTTATCATACATCTGCGCAGTATTCCTGAAGTCCCACTCGGATTCAAAAACGAAGAGACAAAGCTCTTGTTGGAAGTGACTGAATCCTATAAATATAGCTCCATAGAAGAGGAAATCAAGAAAGGTTACTTAAAATCAACATTTACTGAAGTAAAGGCTGCAGCTAACCCAGGGGAGTGCACTGTTAAGTCACGTAGAGAGGTAAGTGCAGAGATGACTTCGTAAGCCATATCATTGCACCTTGCAGACCCTTTAATTAGCTAATGCTGACTAATTGGAATGAAACCCTTTCACACACACAGAGGAAAAGACTCCACCAGGACACAGGGTCAGGAGAAAGCCTGCTTTCTTTTCTCTTTTTTAATTTATGAATTACTTCCAGCAAGAGGAATGAGACAGACTAGTCCTGGTGTTTTGAACAGTTGGAAAGGATGAGAGAGAATCAGGTTCAGGTTTCCACCCTGTGTCAGTCTCTTGATATGCCCTTCATGTGAGTTTTGTCATGATGACCTACTTTGTCCTTTAGTCCTGATAAAACTACCATCAAACTGTGGGCAAGGACTACAGACCACTGATCCTAGATAGAAATCTGTAACTCTGAAGTCCGCACACTTTCTTAAGTAGTACCTATGGGGTATTTGTTGTCCAGTCTAGTAAACATTCGAGTTTGCTGCTGCTCAGCATTTAATTGGGGATTTACTGACAGTAAACTTGTCTGTAAATGTGTACTGTAAATGTGTAATGACAGTAGGGACAGTAGATGTGTCTACAATCACTGCTTCTACAGTGATGCTACCTCACTTCTGGCATTTTAGTTTTATGCATCTATCCTTGATACGGGTTTTGAACAATTGGGTAAAAAATACTGAGAATGTGCTGGTGGTTATATGTTAGGAACTTAAACTCCTGTTTAAGCTACTAAGTAAAGGATTTATTATCTTCTACTATTTATAATTTGTATGATAATAGCACTTGATATTCCTAACTCAAAAAAAAGTATTATTACACCAGATACAACACAAAGGTAGAATAAAAGATGAGAATACCAGACAAACACAGAGGGGTGCAGAGAGCAAAGCAACAGGTTTTTGGGAGCTTATGGCTGGCACACTGTGATGCTGTCCCTGTTCCCCCACTGTAGGCCAAATTAAGCAGCCAGCATCCTTTACCTGCACTGTTCACTCTGAGCAGCCTCCAAATTGTCAGAGATGCTGAATGTCATTGGCTGCTTGGCCCATGTGGGCTCTAAAGAAAGAAAAGTAAATGAAGATGAGAGAGAAGATGCAGTATAAGCAGGGGGAGCAGACTGTGACCTCTATCTTGGCAAGAACTAATTCCACTGAATCAGTGACCTCTGACACCCGAGGTGAAGGCCGGGCATCCACTCTGGGCAAGTTTGTGCTATTGCCCTCCTCTCTATATTTTTTGCTGGAGAGGCATTGCCCTACTCTTTTCTCTTTTTTTTGTCATAAGCTCACAGAGCTTTGATCTCTTTCATAGTTCTTTGATGTGCCTGGGAATGTATAATTCTAGACAAAATTCTTAATGGTCTATCTCTTGTGGCACATATTTTTGAGTTCATTCATTACAGTTGGTTCCTTGAAGAAAGAGTTTGGCTTCCTGTTATTCTGTTTCTCTTTTTTTGCTGCTGGCATCATAGCCTTGTATATTCTAAATTAAGGACTGTGCTCTTACATGCCAATAGCTACCATGCTTATTAATGAGATTTGACCTGTTACAGTATGAACAGATGTTCAGAGTGATTCATCTTTTGTTCTTTTGTTTGGTGCCTTTTACCCAGGATCTACTGCCATAAACACCTAGTCATATTGATTGCTTTGTATCGTTATGAATCATCTTAGGCCTTGAGTTGTCGTGACTTTATAGAGAAAATGATTGGGTATTTTGAGCTGTCGAATAAGGAACAAAAATGGAGCCAGACATCAGCACATCATTTAAATTATCATAGAGTTTATATGTTGGTCTGTATTGAATACGTGCATTAAACATTTCAGTTTCCATTTCCACTGTCTAAAATATTTAACTAGAAAGCAAGCTTTTCTATCTAGCTGTGAAATTATTGTTTGTATTATAGCAGTGTCCTTTGAAGTTCCCTGACTTTATGTTAACTCTTTGATTGGAAAGGCTGTTTCTAAGAACTGGGTGGAAGAGCTGAGCAAATTAAATAAGCCAAGTCAAACATTAGTAAATATTTTTGAAATAACACTAACAGGAAAATGTGAAATTTTGTTTGTTTGTTTGTTTTATAACTGTAGAATAATAGAACTCTTACCCAGTTTAGAAGAGACAGTGATGCCAAGAGAAATTCCAAGGGATCTGGACAATATGCAGTTCAAGATGAAAGGCAGCAATTTGAATTTTGGCATTCCTATAAGGATTAAAACCCTCCTGCTAGAGTAAAGTATTTTCCAGTTTTATATGGGGTGATTATTCATAAAGTAGCTTGCAGCATAACCTAGCTCAAAGGAAAAAAGAACTGTGAAAAGTTAACATTAAAGGAGGGAAAAAATGTCATGATCTTACAGCAAATTGAAGACAAAATTCAGCTTATTAGTGATGAATGTAACTTTTACAGGCAATCCACATTTCATGACCATACAGCTTCATTTACTGTCTCTCCTAGGACTGTTGCCTCCAAAAATCACAAGAGAAAATTGGAAGTGTTACATGTGGCACAGATAAAATAATATATTTTTTTCTTTAAAAGCAAAGAACCATGAATGAGCTCTAAAGCTGTAAGAACTGTGTGCTACAAATGCCTGACATCAAGTACACCTACAGTACTAAAAAAAAATTCAAGCGGTAAAAGTGATCTGATGAATGTGACTGGAAAAGAAACTGAGAGTCTTGAGGCACAGGGCTCAGACAAGGAGGAGGCAGATAAGGTGGGGCATTGAAGGTGGTGAGAAATTTTGGGGTTTCTCATCAGAGATTTGTTAACCAGCGTCAAAAATATTTTGACTCTGAAATGAGTTATTTCTCCCATGGGATGAGGTGTTCAGGTGCTGGAGCTCACATTCTCTAGGTGACTTTGAGTGGTGGGGCATCTTCTGTGAGGTAGCACAGACTTTCACTCCTTCGTGGAGGGGAGGACAATACATAGTAGAAATATCATGGTGATGATATTCCAGAAGAGGTCAAATTTTCTGAGGAACTTAGCACACAGAAGGGAATGGGAGTAAGGTCTCGAACTGACATATTCCACAACTGATACCTTTTAATTCTCAGGCAGTATTTTGAGCTTCCTTTTTTTCTGTGGCAGTGTTAAAGTTTCAATGGAAAGCTGATGACTCCATAAGAAATTATTTTGTTTCTGCTTTTGTTTTTTCTTGAAACACCACTGCATCTGTTTTGGCATAAAAATTTCATATGGTTCTACAAGCAAATAATAATCCTACTGATTATAACAGCAAGAAATATTACATCCTTGGAGATGTACCCCAGCTATCCCAGAGTCTCTGTGAATCTTTCAGATGTCTTTATCAGGCAATGGCTCTACAAAGTAGACATATAGTGAAGGACATTCAGTACCTCAGCAACCCTTCCTCGCAAAAAAACATTTAAAACCTTGGCCTTCTTCATTTGCTGTCAGCTATTTTATTAGCCGTCAGGGCAATAATACGTTATTATTGTTAAATACTTGCATTTAGGACCAAGGGCGGATGAGCCTTAAATCCCTGGTGAAGACACTTGTAAGCATGCCATCCCACTATCGCTGTCTGTGTGTGAGCCACCTCTTCGGATGGATGGCTTTCCTGTCCAACATGCTCTTCTTCACGGATTTCATGGGACAGGTAAAAGCATAAAATCCTCCCGCTTCTCCTTCCCCTTAGCATCAACGCCTCCACCAAAACCAAACAGGACAGTGTTGGAATCCTGAAGAAATGATGGTGGTGGCAGAGGCATCTGCACCCCCGTAGCTGAACAAGAGTTTTGCAAAACAGCTAGCTCACCTCAAGCCCCCATTCTGAGCCAGTCTGTTGGATCCTGGGGGAGAAACTTTTAATATTTTGAAGACTATTCATGTTTATTTATCTGTTTCAGACTAAGTTCTCAGAGCTCTTCCACACACATCCATTCTCTGCTGTGGCTTCAGAGCTGCTAGAGATGGGCAGGTTTCCTTACTAAAACAGTGCTGATGTTGCTTGGATGCAGCTGGCCTTATCCTGATGCGTGGGCACTGTTGGCACCAGGTAGTTCACCTGCACTGCAGCCTCCCTGGCCTCAGGCACTGCAGCTCTTTGCACTCAGTGAGCTACTTGGTAGCTCAAGGCTCTTGTCTCCTTGAGTTTGGTTGTCCCTGCCATACCTCTTTAAACATTTTGCCGAGTCTCTTCTGCCAGCCGTTCTTTGCACTCATGATAACCAGTGCTGCCCTTCCAAGGCAGTAAGACTGTATGCCCCTGCCAGTGGTTCTTCCCTATATGATCCTGTCTGCCTTCTTTCTTCCATGGCACAAACATGCTCCTGGCACAAACCCTTTCATTGCTACTTCTTTTTTTACCTAGGGTTTCCAGCCAGTATTCCTATTTCCTTGCCATTTTTCTTTTGTCTCTGTAGGGGAGAAGGAGCTTTTTTTCCTGCAGTGTATATGAACAATTGAAAGAGAAATCTTTGTTTGCCTAGATAAGGAGCTGAATAAGACAGTTACTGGGGGGAAAATGAGCGTGTCGGGGAAAGCCTGAAAGAGAAAAGAAAAAAAAATTAATTGCAGATAAATTAGAGAAAAAAGGCTCAGGCAAGAGGGCAAAAGTGGAGAAAGAAGGAGAACGGGAAATGAGACACCCAAAGGAAAAAGAGGAAGTGAGACAGTGCAGAGTGGACAGTCCAGGAAAAGGCAGAGGATAACAAATGAGGAAGAGCCTGAGATGTGAGAATGTAGGAGCGTGAAACCTGAAGAATTGTGAAGGGATGATTTAGGGCACTGCTTAACATATTTATTGGGTGCTAATTATCTCCTTTACTGGTAATGAGGCTCTGTATTGGGTACCCTGTTCCCATAGGAAGGACATATTATATACATGCAGTCCATCCTTGCCTTCTGTGATCTTTGTGTTCTCTTTCAGGTTGTATACCAGGGTAGTCCTTACGCACCTCATAACTCCACGCTTTACCTTACCTACAAAACAGGAGTAGAAATGGGTTGCTGGGGGCTCTGTATCAACGCAATTTCTTCATCAGTCTATTCTTGTAAGTACCTAGGAATGTATTCCAGCACTGAGTTTTGAAACAGCGTTCAAATTTTTTGCTGTTTGCCATTATTTAAACAAATAAAGCAATGCCAAGTTAGCTGTTTTTTTTTCCCACATTAAAACTTCAAGAAATGTTACATTCTCAGCACTTACAAACTTGTATCTTGATGTGAACAGTTCCCGACCACAAGATGAGGAGTCACTTTGGGAGTATGGCATTGTTCTGCACACAAACTGACCCTGAACACTGAACGTTGTGCTGAAGTTAAATTCCACGCTAAAATGGATGGCATGGGCATCATGCTGATATGCTCTTCACCTAGCAAAGCTGCAGCTTTAGGTTCTTGAATGTCCCTCTGATGACCTCTCCCCATCTGTGTCCCTCATAAAATAACATTTTCACAGCGCAGTAGCAGTTCTTGCCAGGAGCATGAATCCTGCTCTCCAAAATTGTGTGTAAATATGCTAGCACAATTCCCCAGATAAGGTTCACCATAGCTCTTACCAAGGATTAAAAAAATTACTTGTGGTCTGGAAACTCAAATGAGTAGCATTTTGGGAGCTGAACTGAGCATCAAAAAGGGGTTTGGCAGAAATATTTTCCCCTTTGGGGCTTAACTACAGGCATCTCTGTAGTGCCTTTCTCAGCTCAGACAAGGGTTGGTGCCAAATATGCATATTATAATCAAACAGCAGAAATGTCTGAAGCTGTCAATGAGGGCAGTTCTGCCAGAATGGCTGTTAACTACTTCTTCTCTGCAGCTGGCTATGCCAGAACCGGACTATCCCCAGAGAGAGCAAGGACACTTTGACAAGTTTATGCCCACAATAATTTGAGGCAACTTCCAAAATCTGTGACATTCTCTCCTTCATTGCATTTTACAAAGTAAAACCCCTTAATGGAACCCCCTGATGAAATGTGAGCTGTTGGGGTTTAGCCATATCAGCATTTTCACTTTCTTTTCACAGATGTGCAGAAAATCCTTCTGCCATACACAGGATTAAAGGGACTTTATTTCATCGGATACCTACTTTTTGGCTTGGGTACTGGATTAATTGGCTTGTTTCCCAATATCTATTCCACTCTGGCTTTGTGTTCCCTCTTTGGCGTCATGTCTAGCACACTGTACACTGTGCCATTCCACCTCATTGCAGAGTATCACAGGGAAGAAGAGGTGAGTTCAGTCTCTAGGGAAGGGTAAGTTTTTATCTGTCTGAGTCCATTTAGTCTGTTTTCAGAGAAAACTAGATAGAACTGGTAAGTAGCTTTTAATTTTAATTTAGAACTGTTTCTGGTGACACATGTTATGAATCGAAAGTTTCTGACAGAGAGAGTTAAGGTTCCAGCTGCAAGCTCGCCAGACAGTCCTGTAGTGAAACATGATTATTTATCATCACAATGGAACAAAGCCGATCACGGTACGTGTTGGGGCAGTAAGCAGACAACAGGGCTCCATTTGTGTTGCCTTCAAGTGCTGTGTTCCTTCCTTCCAGCTGAGGACTTGACTTCTGAGTTCCTAAGGTTAATAACCACACTGTAAACGCTGGCAGAATTTTTAGTTAATTGCAAAATGTTACAAAAGCTGTTAGCTACTAAAGATATGAAATTCAAGTACAGTTTTGTGTAGTTCAGTATTAAGTTATATACTGCATTCTTGTTATCTCTCTACATGCCTGGGATTGGCTTTTAGCCCTCCACAACATGAATCCCTGTTTCCAGGGGAAATCTGGAAAAGCTTGCATTCCTTATGTCATGTTACTGGGCACTGCAGGATCTTCATGTCTTGTAAAGTGTTGAGTGTTTAATGGAAAGTTCTCTCAAGCCTCAGAAGTTAGTGAGAGAGCTGGAAACAAGAAGGATTAAGGAAAGATGGGAGGACTTCCTAAGTTGTTATTATATCTGGGGACATGGGAAGAAACTAAAAAAGAAAATGTTGAACCATTGAAAAACAACACAGAAGCATGGTTGAGAAGAGCACAGGGCTAGGTCAAGTCCTTGAGAACATGTCCTGTTGTTCTGTACGACTTCAAAGCATCACCATCTGAATGATGAATACAAGAAAACTACTAATTATACTGTTGAATCCTTGGAGGATGGCTCAGTACGATTAAATATTTCATGTCTCTGATTCCTCATTTTTCAGTTAATTTATCTGTTCCTTGCAACAGTGAATGATCATGATGGAGAGTTTTAGAAACATGTAACAAGGGACAGGGAACAAACCCTGTTTAGGCTGAGATCACAGTCCTAATCTCAGGCTGGCCAACTCAAAGAGAGGGAGTAAAGGCCAAAGTGTAGTCTAGCTCTAATTTGCAGCTATTCCAAGACAGAAATGAAATAAAATATGATGAAGTGTGCATGAAGTTTATATTTAATAGGGTAATATATTCAAATATTCCTTGTAAGACAACCAGTTGTTTCTTGTTTGGCATATGGCTCCTGACATGCCACATGTTAAATGATATATAATTCTATGTTTAGGCTTAAACCTAAACATAGGTTTAGCTCAAATCTTCTATAATGTACAAGATATAAAAAAATAAAGAGGAAACATAAAGTGCAAGACTGCATTTATTTACGTTTTCATATAATTGTTGTCTGAACTACTGGGAAATGGAAACACAGGGCACAGCCCAGCAAAATAGATATAAATCCATAAAAATCATGTCTATAATTGGAAATACTTCAGGTGAAAGGACTCTATCATGCCTACAGGTGGAAACCTCTTTATTAAAATATATTCTCCCTTCAACAGCTTATGTAAGAAGAACAATTAATATGTAAACTGTCATATAATTTCCCAACAAAATAGAATAGGTCCTTCCTTGAGGGAATCACAGAAGATCTGAAGTTAGAAGGGACCTCCAGAGATCATGTAGTGCAACCTCACTGCATAAGCAGGGCCACTTGGTGAAGGTTGCCCAGGATCGTATCCAGTCTGAATATTGAATATGGGTTTGAATATTCCCAAGGACAGGGACTCCACAACTACTACTCTGGTCAGCCTGTTCCAGTGATCAACCACCTGCACAGGGTGCTTATATATGAGGTGCTTGTTTATCATAAATGAAGCCTTTTGCTCTACTGTGTATATCATGGCAGATATAAAGATAATCGTCTTTGGTGGTGTAGAAGAAACCTAATCTAGACATTTATTTTCAGACTTCTTTTTCCTGCAGCAATAAAAGCATTGCATTTAGATTTTAGCACTGAACTCCTTTATGTGCTTTGAGCCATAACTTTAGGGCACAGTGCTCCATTGTAACATGTTATGCTTTGTATGTGTATGGGACGTATGCCTCTTCTTAACATCCCTTTGAGGCTCTCTGTCAGCTGTGAGAGTTGGAGCTAAATTATCCATGACAGTCCTGTACTGTGAAACGTCACTTTGCCAGGACTCAAATAGGCCTGAACTTGAAGGAAATGGCTGGTTTTTTCTGATCAAGTTTCAATTCTTGAGAGAAGGGATAGAGGGAAAAATTGCAGATGGGAGGGACAGTTTGAGGGGAGCTTGGAAAACTCATTATCACTTGTAAATCGCTCTGTTTGAATTCTATAACCTCTTTGGGACAAGCAGAAAAAAAACAAAGTGAAGCAGAGGGCTATAGGCCTGTCTTGCTGCACCTGGGGGTTATGACAGCACATTGGCCGAGAGCTACAAGTTGTTGGTGCTGTCCCATTTCACTGGGTGTTGTTTTGTGCTTCCTTGCAGAGCCTGAAGCTGCAGGACGGGGAACAAGCTGGAGAGTACAGGCGAGGGAAGGGCATTGACTGTGCTGCTCTCACCTGCATGGTCCAGCTGGCCCAGATCATACTCGGTGTGGGCCTGGGGCTCCTGGTTAGTGTTGCTGGCAGTGTGGTCACTGTGATTTCAGCGTCTACAGTGTCGCTGGTTGGCTGCTGCTTTGTTGCTTTCTGTGTTCGGTATGTGGAGTAGGACTGTGTAAGCGACTGGAAGAAGTCTCTCCGGGGGAATGTTTTCTTTCAGGGTCAGTAACGCTGGTACTGCTGCCATGCTGATGCTGCTGGCACGTCCTCCTCTCATACCTCCTTGGAGCTACTGCAATTCCAGAGCTTTACGAAATGGAGACTTGATAAAACTGATTGCCTAATGCCTCAGATTGAAAGCTTCTGTATTTTGACTGCTTTATTACTTCAGTCCTGCTGACCTCAATGTATCAACATACTCTTACACCTGACAGCGTGTATGACCGTGGTATCTCAATGCCCTACATGAGGAGTCATTATGAAGCTCCTCATTACCAGTTTGTGGAATTTAATAGATGAAGTATGTGATAAAGTAATAAAAAAGGACAGTTAGGAAGAGAGTTATTATTTATCTTGTTGTTTTAAGCGTCTTGTGTTTGGGGATATTCTTTCTGGTAGTGAAAAGCTGGAGGAAGATAAAGCAAGTGTCAAGGGGCCATGCAGGCTACACTTGTGTTATAATGAGTAGTGCTGTTAAATGGGATCAGTTAATTCCCAGCAACTGTCAAAAGCAGATTTGGGTGTGAAAGATGATTGAAATATAAGAAAGATTGAAGTCTGTTGTTTAAAAGCATATAACTGTAAAGTAATTATTTTATACTGGACCCTGCTGCTTTTGTATAAATGAAAGTACTAACTGAGTTTGTCATGAAAGTCTGCCTAAGGCTGCTCTGAAAATCCATGTGCAGGCCTCTTGACTTTGATACTGTAATTGAAAAAATAAACTTGTCCAAAAAAAAGTTTTATGAATGGTTGTAAGCTGCATAAATCTTGATGTTGGCTATGAGAGTATTCACCTTAAAGTAGCATCTCTCTTTTCTCCATTTTCCTTCATGTGTCTAGCTTTGAGTGAAACGGTGTTTACTCTTTACAGAATACTGTAAATAAATTCTGTTTTGCAAAGCACTGTCAGGAATTATTGCACAGTAAATACTTAAGTCCATTTATTTGTATTTAACTGCGCATGCAGTTTCTTTGTAATTTTTATAATATTGCCAGTGTTTTGAAAATGCTGTTTTTGTGAAAGGGATACACTGTATTTAGGCTCTGTGTCCTCTGTCCTGAAAACTGTCCTATCCATTTGCTGTACTATACGCTAAGTCACATGAAGCCACCTGCTAATGCAATATTGTTAATGAATAATAATGTTAATGAGCACAGGGAGACCGTTGCCAGGTATGGTGCTTGTTTGGTTCCTTGGATTTTTTTTGCTTTATTCTTAAAATGTTGCGCTTGTGTGATCAACGTTGTTCAGTCAAATGGGCTGTTGAGCTTCGTCAGCCCTTGGAAGCTCTGCGTGATATGAAGTGACAACACCACAAATAATAATGGTTAGACTTGACTGTAAGGTGCCTCTGCAGAGGTGCACCAATTTCATTCTTTCTGTATGTTTTCAGGAGTAGAGCAGGTCGGGTTTTTTGGGAAAAACAAGCCTTCCACAGGCAAACTCCTGTTAATTACAAGTCCATGCAGTCTCTGCTAGCTTTTCTTGTTGATGATTGTGTTTCTACTGTAGGCCCAAAATGGGGCTCCATGCATGACAAATCTTACCCTTTCTTCACAGCTCCTTCATCCTGCCTTATGAAAAAAACGTTTTTTGTTTTCTTTCTTTTTGAGGCTCTTCATCATTCCCCCTCATGCCACACCCATGGAAGAGAAAAGCTGGGAAGACAGACCCCCCCCAAGACTGTGCTTGAAACACTTTGTAGGTGCTGAGATGGCTGAAGCATAAGGGTCTCGAAGAGGACAAATAAGAGGCCAGGAAATGCGGAATGGCTGTTTTCTCAATTCACTTTAAGCCATTGTTAACTCAGTGTCTCCTGAGAGGATGAATTTTTAAGGGAAGAGTGAGGCCTCTGTGGAGTCCTGAAAATAGGGAGAGGAGGAGGTGATTTGGCTTTATAGGACTGCAGAACTTGAAGCACCATGTAAAACCATGCTGCGGGATCTGAGATCATAAAGCTCTGATTTGGTTGTGAGGCTGGCAAAGGAACTTTGCAATGTTTACCTATGTTTTTGTCAATATTTTCTTTAAGCTTTATTGCCACCAGAACATGAAAATTTGAATGGTCAGTGCTGTCTCTGCTCACTTACACAAGGCAAAGGCTGGCCGTGATTCAGGCCCATGGGGTGACTGTAGATCCTCAGCAACATAGCAAGAGTCGTGAACGTGCAGAGAGAAGAGAGATGTGACCATTGCTTATATAAATGCTTTCAGTTACACATTTATTCAGAGGAAACTGTTTCAGGAACATGCCTTATCATCTTTCTCATGACTTTTCCTTTTAAAATTTATGCATGCTACAGAACACAGAACAGAATAGTGCCATTTTTTTCTTTGGAACTCTTTACATAGAACATCCTATGCTTGTTTCTAAGACTTCAAAATAATATCTTTCCTAATGGGTAAAATGCTAAACATAGCAAGCAGACAAAAAAAGTATGTACAATTTGAAAAACTGTTTAAACAAGAAACAAAACTTGATGTGAAGTCAAAAATATATTTCAGGTGTTACTGAAAACTGTCTAACATGTTACTAATTCATGAGAAAGGATACAATTATTTATTTCAGCAATAGGAATGGTAAATATTAAAAATGTTAAAGGCTTTAAAAAACTGTGAAGAACTGTGGTGCTACTAAATTAAGAAGTTCTACTTTTTCTCTCCTATTACATCAGTTCAAGACTTGAGTTATCAATATGATCAGTTATTTACTTAACATCACTTCTATTGCAGTGATATGAGTTTCAAAGCCAGAAGTACTCTGGGTCTAAGTTTTCTCATCTGGTTATAAAAAAGATCTATAAATTAAAATTTCTTCCTCTAAATTTCCAGCATTCATTTCTTCCTAGCTGCTCCTCCTGCTGCTATGTTTATTTAAGCAGAAAACATCCGAGTCTACTTGCCCAAGGCTAAAGTGTGAAAAGTGATTTATAATTCTGTTGCCTTTTACAGTGCGTTCTGTTTCATATATTGCTCATTTGGGTATGCGAAGTATGTTCACCAGTTGTATTCCTAAAGTTTCTTTTGGAAATGAGCTTTTTACCTCCTCTGTATTAATACTTTCCCTGCGTATTAAAGATAACGACTTCATGTGGAGACATCAAACCAGACACTGTTGCTCTGTGTTGCTCCAGGGAAGTAATTGCAGTAGTGAGAGGACAGAATTCAGTTTTTCACTCTGAATTGCACACTAGACCGAGGTATGCAGATCTCGTCTGTTCTTTTCAAAGAGAGAGATCTGTGATCTTTTCTGAAACATGGACTGCTTTTTGAAAGGGTAGTTATCAAAGTCTGTTTCAGCTCCAGGGACAGAGAGAATGGGGCTGCTGTCGGTCTAATGACGAAGTACTTTCCTCCCCGAAGGCTGGGCGCTTGGTTGCCACCCAGTGTTCAATGACATTATAGCACTTCTCCAGAGCGCAGGAGCTGCCTTTTCCTTGCATCATTTTGCAACACCTCACTCGCGTCCCTCTCTATTTCATCTTGCTTTGAATTTCGTTATAGGGATGCACTCAGCAGCTGGAGTTCTCTTTCTCTTTTGTTGTTGTTTTGGGTTTGTTGTGTTGTTGAGGATTTTTTGTGTTGTGGTTTTGGGTTTTTTTTGTGCTTGAACAACAAAGGAAAGTTGCTTGTCTCTAGCTGTACCTAGCTGCGTAACCTCAATGAAGGCACTGTTATATGGACACGTGGTGGTAAGAGGCCGCCAAGGATACGCTTAGTGTCAAACTCATGGTAGAATCTGTCCTTCAAAAGCTTCATTGTTAATGCCAAGAGTCAATTGCGTGGTGCAGCCATTCCCCCGTTTGTCTGACAGGTGAATTTTTGCTGTGTTGGTTCCGAACAGGTAAGGTGCATCAAGAGGCAAGGACAATGGTTGCACCACATAGAGAGGACAACAGACAACATGAGAGTCTTGGACATCTCTGTTTTCAGGACCCTTCTGCTCATATGGTGCCAAGGAGGAGAGGGAAAAATAGCAGAACTGTTGAGTCTAAGGAGTTCTGGCAGAGGTGCCTTTTGTTAAAGGCTGGGAACACTAGCCTGGAGTTGTAAGTCTGGCAGATCACCATGTAAATGTGAATGTATCTCAGATTACTTATATTTCAAACATTCAGATCTGATTTTTTTTTTTACTAAATAAAATAAACACTGGCTTGCAATGCAGTGTGTAGATTATCCGATTCCAGGGATTTTGGGGGCTGGTTTGTTTCTTTAATGAGTGCTGAAATTCCAGCATAACACCCAATCCCAACACATAGACCTTTAAGAAATATATCCCAAATAATGTTATATTACCATAACACTGCAAAACACAGCAATGAAAAGACTTTTAAAACTCAGGTTATCTCTGAGAGAGAGATGGCACCTTATCAAAGGGTGCTGTTCTTTTCTGAAGAGGGTTTTGGAATATTTTTTTTAAAATGACTTTATACCAAGTGTGCTCAAAACTCAAGATTTCAGTCTACATCTCTGAAAATGTAATCCCAAATCTGAAACTCACACTAGATTGTTCTTTTCACTGTTTATGGTCAGCTGTATGGGTTAAGCAATTATTTAATACAGTGCTGTAGTATGCCTGTTACCTTCAGTTCAGAAGTTCATGGCTAGCTCTCTACCTTTAGATGCATCAGTGTATTTGCCTATGAACAAAGGACAGGAGTTCAACAGGAAATGTCTTTTGATGGGCTAGAGGAAGAATGTATTTACTTGAAGCCTCCTCAGCTGTTCCAGCAGAAATAAAAAGCAGTAAAACCACATTTGAACTCTGTTTATTAGCACAAACATATAATAGATTATTTGAAACGACACAATGAGAGATGATTTCAGAGCATAAAATATTTAGAGGTTTTTCAGAATAAATGTCAAGCAAGACAGACATGCTAATTCTACTGCATTGGAACAAAGACATATTCACAGTAATTTATTTATCATCACAGAATCACACAAAAGCACAGATTAGTTAGGGTTTCCTCTGGAGATGACCTAGTCCAAGCCCCTGCTCATCACAGAGTCACTGAAGCAGGCTGGTCAGGCTATACTGAGTCAGATTATGAACATCTCCAAAGATGGAGACTCCACAGCCTTTCTGGGCAACCTGTTCAAGTGTCTGAACACACTTAGCACAAAAAGGAGATGATTTTTTAAAAATTAAATTTATTTAACTTTTGTTTGTGCCTCTTGCCTCTTCCATTCCCTAGACAACACTAAGAGCCTGGTTCCATCTTCTTTATCCCTCACCCTCATCAATTGAGGTTACACACATTAATAAGATCTCTTTGAGCCTGTCAGCACCAGGCTGAACAACCCCAGCTCTGTCAGCCTATCCTCACATGGCAGAAGCTCCAAACTCTCTGTCACACTGGAGCCTCTCCAGAGAACTCTCCAGTAAGTTCATCTCTCTCTTGTACTAGGGAGTCCAGAACAGGACACAGCATCCAAAATGTGGCCTCACCAGGCTAAGCAGAGGGGAAGGATCACCTCCCTTGATCTGCTGGCAACACTCTGCCTCATGGAGCCCAGGATGCTGTTGGCCTTTGCTGCAAGGGCACGTTGCTGGGTCATGTTCAATGTATCTACCATGATCCCCAGGTCCTTCTCTGCAAAGCTGCTTTCCAGTTGATCAGACCATGTCCTGTACTGGTGCTGGGGCTTATCTGCCCCAAGTGTGGGACTTTGCATTTGTCTGTTCCATCATTCAGCTCCTTAATGAAGATGCTGAACAGAACTGGCCTCAGTATTGACCTCTGGGGAAGAGGTCCACTGGACTGAGTGCTGTTAATCACAACCCTTTAAGCCTAACCATTCAGTCAGCTTCAGTTCAGCTCACTTCCCACTTACCTAGTCTATACTTACCAGTTTTTCTATGTGAGTGTCATGGCAGTGAGCATCAAAAGCCTTCTTTAAATCAGCTTAAACAAAATCCACTGCTCCTTCCACATCCACCAGGACCAGCTGTCTAACCAAAGGTTACCAGCTTAGTCAGATGTGATTCCCCCATCCTCTTAATTCTGGGCTAATTGTTGGTAGCTATGAATTGGGAACAACTTTATTATCCCAGCTCTAGTATTTGGCCTGAAAACAAAATGGAAGGTACTTGATTTTTAAATTTCTTGTCTAAACTGATCAGAGACTTTTTCACAAATACAGAGAGAAGTCAGCTTTACACAAGATTCCAGTTTTATCTTGCATGAGACTAGACGTGCCTTCTGAGCTAAAGTGGAAAGATTTTTTGAACAATGATGCTAGAAATCTGTGCTGAGTAGTTAATTTCGTCATTGTGCAATAACCATACTCATTCAATTGGTCTGTGCAAAACAAAATACAGGTCCCTGGAGAAATGGCATCTTATTGTCCCAAGTGATGGATGAGTGAGGGACAAAGTTGGTATCTGAGTGAGTTACCTGTATTTTGTTATTTTCCATACTGAATAATCTGCAGTCCTCCCCAGGCAGGCAGGTCAAGGTTTAAAAAAAACCCACCCCTACCCACCAAAATATTTTTCTTCTGTCTTCAGCTGGGTATTTTTGGCTTGATTTGCTCAGTCATGCTGTGAATCTTCGTTTTACAGTTAAGATTTTGGGAAGGACTCTGAGGCTATGCATAAACATAGGCTGAGAAACCTCCATGTGTGTGAAAAGTCATAGGGATGTGAAAGAGACAATTGTCAGGAAAACAACTCCCTGCAACTAGGGAACACGTCTAAGGCATGTTGCCATCTGCACTTTAGCAAAGAAATGAGTTACTGTCCAGCCTTCTCTCGCAGATTTTGTCTCAGCTGCTGCTGAGAATGTACCCAGAGGAGATTCTTATAACTGCTTAGTTATTATTAAAAGATATTTTCAATAACCCCTTCTGAATGGATTAATCAGAATTCTCATTTGAAGCAGGAAAGAAATAACACTCATTAAAAACTGGCTATCCAAGCTCTCAATCTAACGTCCTTGGGCTGCAGCGCACCCATACCTATGCCTGCTCTAGCTCAGGGATGCCAATTAGATCAGAGCTTCTACGCAGGCACTCATTTGAATAATCAAGTTTTAAAGCAGACAGTCATGAATGGGCATGAAGGGGACTGGATTTTTTTTACTGCTGAAGTGAGTGCCAGAATAACCTAAAGAGAAAGTGAAGCAATATTTCTCCTGAAGAGGCATTTCAAAGGGAAACCTAGAAATGCAGTTGGAGGCTGTTATTGCTTTAAGAGCTTGGTTAATTGTTTGAGGAGGGGGAGATATTTAAAAGTCTTTAGGCAGTCAAAGTCTGTGCCTAATGTGAATATCTGGGCTTTGAAGATTCTTTTAGTTTGTCACTAGATGTCAGCCTGCACCTTTGGGTCCCCGTCATTCTGTAGCAATGTGCACCTCTCTGCCAGCACCCCACCAGGAATCTCCAACAGGAGGAGCTGGATCACGAAAATCTCCAAAAGAACTCAGTAAATATTATTTTGTATCCTTCAGCTTTGTTTATTTTAGTCCATGAAAAGGTGATTGTTACAAATGCAGACATGAACATTTGGAGGAAACACTGGTTTTGAAGAGTGTTGTACTGATTACTTAGGAAACCCGCGGATATACAGCAGGATTTGTCATTGTTAACATGTAGTCTCAAAGTGGGAGCTGGAAAGACCCTCTGCTCAGGCCACACGCCTGATGCTGTGTGCACACTCAGAGCGATTAACCCTTCCTTGCCATGCCCAGGGTAATGCTCCTGCCACGCAACACAAAGGCCAGATTTCATGCACTGATAGTTGAGACTCACAGCACATGTGAAGCAAAATGTCCCTGTGCTCATGCACAGCTAGAGCAGTTCTCTTTGGCCGTGCTGGACACACACTGACCTGCACAGCCACAACTGCCAGTCTGTCTGAAACCAACATTTGGCCACTTGTGGATGGGTTGTGCCTCTTTTGAATAGCAGATTCATACCCTACACCTGGTGGCTCCATGGCTTAAGAGAGAGCTGCCTTCCAAGTCTACAGTCCAGTCCCTACCCACTCAAGGTATTTTCCTATTTGGGTGATCTGGCAAATGTAAGGTTTTTATGTCTTCAGTAATCAGATACCTGGGGCTTCCTCTGAGTATGGTGTCTTGCTAATATTCTGGACTTAACTATGGGTTGTTCTGAATAACATCTACTTTACTGCGTTGTTTTGCTGGCACAAAATTATTTTTACATTGACATCCACAAATGCACATGGGTTTTGTCATGCTGAGCACCACAGAAGATGTCTTTTAGGCAGTTTGCTATCTACTGAAACTTGTATTTATGCTTTAGACACCTGCATAGCTTTTCATGTAATACGCAAGAACATTTAAGCATCAGGATAGGGATTAAAATTCCAGCAAGCCAAGCAAGAAACCATGCCGCTCAAAGGCAAGCACTAAGAAGAGAGTCTGGCTTTGAGATTCATTCCCTTTTCTTAATTTTGGTACTTTCTCCTAGCCTATAGAGACACAGTCAGATGCCTCTGAACTCTGGAGTTAAGTGTTTGTAGCATCCTTTTTTCACGTAACAGTGTGACTTTCTTCATCTGCTAGTACAGGCATTAGGACTTTCTCCCAGAACATGTGAGACCAAAATGCACTCTTGCAAATCCTTTGACATATTAGGATGTTAGAGCTACAGGTCTAGAAAGCTCTCAGGCTCTTGCATGGCACACTGAAACTTTCATTGTACAAAGACCTCGGAGCAAGTTAATAATTGTTTTTGGAAAGGGGAGACCTAGAATCCAGACCTGGAACAAATTTCTCTTCTGTGTTTACAAAGAAGAAAAACCCTGCTACTTCCTCTTTGGGGATCACACCCTAACCACTATGCTGCAAAGCAGTGTTCAAGGGCTTACCTTCCCTTTAGAATTCAGCAGTGATGAGCAACTCATGCAACAGGGAACTGTTTCAAGCCAGAAGATCTGCTTACATTCACCGAGTAGCCCAGAGATTCAGTCATTCCCCAGGGATGTGGAAAGGAGGAAGCTGAGTTTCCCAGGCTGTGGGGAAAGGCTCTGCCCACTTATTTAGTATTTCAAAAGTGCGGAGGAAAGAGCACAATCTGCCCGTGCATTGAAGGCGAGATAGGAAAAGCATATCTAGACAGACACAAAATGATGAGGGGAATGACTTTCACAGCCCCTCCTAACTTGTGGCCTGGCACAGGGTGTTCCATGTCGGGATGCAGATCTGCCTCCCTCGCTCAGGATACACACTGCAGCCAGTCCTAAGAGATCCCCATAAAACACAGCAATAAATGCTACAAACTTCAGCAGACTTAGGCATGCTCAGAAGCAGACTTATAGGCACAAAAAAGTTTTACTACAAAAAACTTTAAGTACCTACAGACTTCAACTGGCAGCCAAGTCAGGATTTAGGAACTTAGAGGAACAGTTGTACAGTACTTAGATGCTCAAGTTCTTCTGTGGTTATATCTGATTTCTTCAGTCTTTGCATCTGTGTAAGTGTGTCCATCAGATGCTAGCTCACTTCTGCTGTTCTTCTCCAGGCTCTGTGTCTTTCCAGTTAGCAAGCATCCAAGGCTGTAGCAGAAGTCTTTTCTGCCTTGAAGCAACAGAACAACAGCTTCTCCTTGTGTGTAGCAGAACCAGCTGCTTCCAGACCAAAGCTGAATTTTACAACAGGAGTTATTGACACATGCAGTAAACCTAACAAAGTCTGCAAAACAGTTATGTAATTGCCACTAACAGCACTGCACTTCTCTCTGGACACAAGCTAGTTTGCTCCACATCAGTACTTAGAAGTGATAAACAATCCCCTGCAGAATTACTTCTTTAGCACAGTCAGGCAGATGTTTGATTTAGCCTGCAGGAGAAGGGGCTGGATATAGAGATGTGGTTTGAATACTATATTTATATATTCATCCCATAGGCAGTGCTAACAAACTTGTGTTCTTACAATAAAACCAGATTGGTTGAATTTTAAAATAAATATTTCAATGTTTTCATTTTAATTTCTTTTTTTCCTCATAATTTAAAGAAGTAATTTAAAAACTAAAGATATAACCTTACCATAAAAAGTTTCACAGCTTAAAATTAAACTTTTTTTTCCATGCCCCTAGAATTTAATTTCAGATAAACATCCAATTATTTCCCAGATATTTCTTTTGGAACACAGGCTGGGACAAGCATTGTCCATGCCCTTCTCCAGGGTGTGAGAGCACTGAACTACAGGCTCCAGGGCTGCTCACACCAGAGAATTGCACTGTAGTTAATTGAAACGCTGGCAATTATTACTGCAGACCCTTAACTAACACTTGAGCAGAATAAAACCCTTTGTGCTTGGTTTGAGCTGAATGCAGAAGTATCCCAGAGCAGGCAACTTGAAGTGGCTATGACTTGTTTCTTTTTCCCTTTTCTAATTTACAGTTGTGCTCATTTCCTGGAGTGAAATACAAACAATCTGAAGCATAACAAGAACAAAGCCTGTAGCCTCAGTACCCTGGGAGAGACATTTGCCTTGACACACATGGTTTGAGGCTGTGGGTTTCTGCTCAGCAGCCTGGAGAGAGGCTGGGGAACATGAAGTCAGAGGACTCACCCCCTCCCTGCCAAACCCAGGCAAAGCAACACCTCTCCACGAGGCTGCAAGTCCTGTCCTTGGGTTTCTCCTTGGTTGTTTGGGTTGCTCTGTATCCTGGCAGCAGCAGAGGGGATGGAGGGAGCAGGAAAAGCAGATCCTGCACAGATCTAGAGGGGTGCACAGTGCTTCTTGTACCTCCTTTTTCCTGGGTCCCTAAGAACGGGGAAAGGGGTCAAGCCTGAACAAGCAGGATCCTTGTACCCCCTTGACCTGGCTCTTCCCATCAGGGAAGGTATGAAGTAGGATGTAGGCTGCCTGATTCCTGTGTCCTCACTGGAGCCCAGGGAGCAGTGGCCACAGCTGGGCTGGTGCCATTTACAATGTTACGTAGCAGGGAGAAAGCAGCCCAGCTTTCCCCCCACTTCCACAGGGGCAGGAGGGCTGCTGGCTCCCCCAGGTTTGGGGGACACAGTTGAAACTCCCACCCAGCCCTAACCAACCCAGCCGCTTCCCTCCCTCTGGTGCCTTGCACACCATACATCCTCCCTGGATGGACTCCTGTCACCCTTCCCAGCTCTTCTTCCCCAGAAGAGGTATAAGCACTAAAAAGTGTCTCCTAGAGACACCTGAATCCCCAGTGCACCACCACTGCCTCCTCCTACTCCTGTTCTCTGGTCTGGAGCACATTTTCAAGGCAACAGTTTCCATCCACAGGCTTCCAAGAGCAGACACAACCCCAGAAGAGCATCTCTCACACCGAAGCCTTGCTTTACCCCTCCCTCTTCCCCTTGTCCCCCCGAAGGATTCAGTGTCC